TCCGGAACTCAAAGCTAAACTTCAGAGCTCTGTGGGCTTTAACTCAAAGCTTTGTTTGGCCTCGGGGAGATTATAGGAGTAGGCAAATCGAAAATCACAAATCGAAAATCACATATCGCTTAACGGAAAAGGCACATTTAGCTGAGCTTGACACAGAGCAAATCGTACAAAGATTTCAAACAGTAGACTTCACAGAGGAGACTTTACAGAGTAGATTTCACAGAGTAGGTCGCACTTTTTATCTGCGTAACAGTAAGTACAGCAACACTTACAAAACAACTCAATTATAAAACAAAAATGGCCAGAAATAACAGAGGAAATATACCCTTGACCTTAAACCATGACCTTAAACTAAAGAACTGTGGTCTTCTTTGAAACATACTGAAGTTCAGGCCTATAATAACAACTACACTAACGTTAACGCTGTGTTTTTAAATTCTATTTTAGGCATTTTCTTGGGGTTCACATTGTCTACTTATGTCAAACTCTAGGCTTTATTATCATATTAATCCATCAAAATTCACGATAATGTTTGAAATAGTTATATTACCTTATATATTGTTGAGCTACGTCGGCGACAGCTAGTAAGCTAGCAGTAAGCTAGCGGGTTTTTCGTTAACTTCCGGTCATTTCTTCCATCAAAAACTGCCAAACCAGGATAAACAGCGCCATCTATAGACTTTAGAAAAGATTAAATTAAGTTGCAAACACTTCGTTGCATTTCCTTAAATTAGTTCTCCTCTGCTTGCAGTAAAATAGTTTTGTTGATATTAGTAGTAATAATTAGTGATTACTAAAATATATTAGTAATAAAGTCTTTTGATCATTAATTAACTTGGCAATCTAACTTAATGATTTCCTTTGATGTTAATGTTTTTTTGGTAGAAATGGCAACCTCCGGTAGAATTTTGAAAGACAAAGAAGTGGATGGTTTGCCAAAGTTCCCAGTCCTGCCGCCAATTGACACAAAGGTCGACGCTGTCAAAGAGACATGCATGTTGATTCATCAGAAACTTCAGAAGCGTCGAAAAAAGAAAATGCTAAATGACCAACGTCGATTGTTATTGTAAGTGTTCTGTCAGGTTGGAAACACTTGCAGTTAACTACAATGTTAGCTGGCTAAAGCAGTTGTATTGTATATACTGTCATACAGGGTGTCCAGGGCCACGGCTGCCTATAGACGGTGCTTGGATAACGAACCAGAGAGCTCATCACCAGAGCCACAGTTTCCACCCTCTGTAAGAAATACACAGTTAGACACTGTCTACATAAAATATTATTTATTTCAAGCATCCATCTAACACAGTGTTTTCAAATTTATCACAGATGATCAGTGAAGACCAGATGGAACGGGTTGGTTTACAGGTTTATGCCATTAACAGAGAAATGCTTATGTTTGAGAAATAACATTTGCTTCTCCTATTTTCAGATGAATTATGCATTTTTAAAGAAACGTGTGGAAAGTGGTCCATTTACTCCAATACAACAAGAATGGCTGCACTCCATCACTGGCCGACTCCTGCCTGAACTTAAAAATACTCCAAGAACACAGGCACTGTTACAGGAGCTCTGCACAGAAGTGAGCGAGGACTTCCGTAATGCAATTGTCAAACATACAGGTATTTTTTTATATTTAGTGTCTTTACTCTTAAGTGTGTGTTTGCTACTAATAGAATTGGTTACTTTAATGTATTTTGCTTTTGCATCAGTGGGCTCAATTTTAAAAGAACCACACAAACAGAATACTGAGAAACAGGAAGTTACTTCACTTGAGTAAGTTACACAATAAATGTATCAACCTAGACAACATATTGTAAATATTTTGTCTTGTGCAATAGAATTTTGGATTTCTCACAACCCCGGCACGAAAGCTTTGTCCAAAGCCACAGGAAGATCAAAGCAAATTTGCACATTCTTCATCCAGTGATGCAGATAATACTGGACATCAGTTACACCACATTTTCTCCAATAGTCTTAGCTGATCTTTCAGATTACAGGTAATAAAATGCACTGGGCATAATAACAATGTAATAATGTAATAATAGCATGATTTATTATGTCTAAATTCAGAGTTTCAGGGCCTGTTGACTGTAAAAGTTTACACAATAAAATGGCATTGGAGTGCAAGAGAACAGAAGAGCACATAATGAACACTTGGTTTCCGAAAATTATTCATCTGCTAACCCTAAGAGATACAGTAAAGGGTATTAAAGAAGAGAAGTTGGACTCTTTTTACAACTGTGCATCCACTCTTATGTCCAATCTGGTGAGATTACTGTGTCATTTTTTATGGTTAAGATCAAATACTTGGATATACAGCACATATACTATTTCTTACATTCAAATTTGTTTATAATATTTTACAGCTTAAGTCCCTGCTTCATAAAAGTGTAGCACAATATGCTAGTCTTTTTGATGAAAAGAATCAGCACAGCCTGCCTTTGTTCAGAATGTCTCTGACATTTGATGATGAAAAGATGGAGATTTACCCAACCTTACAAGATCTAGGGGGAGCCATTTTTGGGATTCTTAATTCAATAACAAGTACACTGCAGGTAAGTGTGGCTCAGACTTCAGGCTCAGAATTAGTTTGAAGAGTTATGTCAAACATTTGTTGTTTATATTTCTAAAGAAAGTACCGACTGTCCAATCATGGCTGGCTCAGTCAACATCTTCATTTGTGGACGCTAAAGTGGCTGATCATATATGGGGTAGTGCTAATGCCATACTGAAGACAGCGGTTGAAAAAAATTTAGAGGAACCCGACAAACATTTCCAGAGTTATGGTAATATTATACAAATTATGTCTTTTTGACAGTATATAAGATTACAATAATTATTTTACACAAAATAATATTTGTTTACCTTTACAGTTGAAAAATATGCATGGCTTGTTAATGGAACTGCACAAACTCAAGTGAAGTTGTTCATGGAGGAGGAGCATTCTTTTGAAGAATATACTCAGGTACTTACTTAAAAATAAGGTAGACTTTACAATAGCTATTATAAATATATATATATTAAAAAAACCCGGTCTGATATTTTAAGAAAGTGGAGGAGTTCCATCGTTTGTCCAAAGAGATTATCGACCTTCCAGCCAAAGCCCACTTCACAATGGTCCATCTGGATTGTGAAGAACTAAAGCAGGGACTAGCCAACAAAGCTAAACACTTTGCTGAAGAACTCATCAAGAAACTAGTTAACAATCACAGAGTGCTTAATGTGGAGTAAGTGGTTTAAGTATCAATTTATTACATAAATTACTATACAATTGGATCCATATGTAATTTATATCACGTTTTCTGTGTGTTTGAAGGATTTGTTCAGAATTTGAAACAATCAAGGAGAATGCTCAGAAAGTACCAGAAAGCACAGAAAAGATGGTTGAAATGATTGAATACATCAACTTTACCAAAACAACAGGTCTCTCACAACTCCAGAAGAAAATATCTGTGAGTAGGCCTACAGTGCTTAGGCTTTAACTAATGATTTATTTTCCTTCATATAACAGTTTGTGTATAATGCTTCTGTACCAGGAATCCCTTAAAAAATTACTGTACCTTGTGGATGTCCACATATTTGAGCCTGATGATCTGAAGCTTCACAAAACTGTATTTCTGTGGCCACAAAACATCATGCAGGCATTTGAACTAAGTGATGAGGTAATCCTCTTCTCTCTCCGTATGCTGTAAAATAATTGTTTCTTGTAATATAATACAGAGTTGTTGTTTTTTTCTAGGTGATAGAGAAAGCTAAGTATAAAGGAAAACATGAGCTGATTGCCACAAGAGAAAAACTAATGGTAGAGTTGACTAAATTAGCCCACAGAATTCTTGATTTCCCAGAATGCTCAGAGCTAGACCTGATTCCACAGGTAAAAAATACAATTTCATGTAACCAAATATGGTTATGAATATTATGTTTTCTAGGCCTTATATAAAATTTGTCCTAAAACTGGTCTTGTTGCAGTATGTGGCAGATATTAGGATTGTTCAGAAACTGATCCGGGAGGCAGAGGAAACTGTAGAATACATCAATAAAGAAGAAAAAGTTTACGACATGGCGCAAACCAGTTACCCAGAAGTAGCTGCAATTAAAGAGAGCATTGAACCTTACCAGAAACTCTTTGGGCTTGTGCTGGAGTGGCAGCACACAGAAAAAAAAGTATGATTTACTGTATGGTTCCTTTTAGTTTATTTATTGTGGTAACAAATATGTGGCATTAATAGTGTCTCTGTTTAGATGGATGGATGGATCTTTCCAGGGCCTGAATGGAGAGAGCATGGAAGTGGAAGTTGATGAATTCTTCAGGAACGTTTTCAAGATGTTAAAGTTTTTCCAACAGAGACAGAGTAAAGCTGGGCAAGAGGGTGCAGAAGATTCAAGCAAAACTGAGAGTCCCACTGCAACTTTGTGCAGTACTGTGTTACAAGAGATCAAAGAGTTTAAGGTAGTAGAAGTAGTAAAAATACTTTAAATGCGTGTTGAAGAACTAAACAATGCATCTTGTATTGTAGGAGCATGTTCCTCTTGTGTCCATTCTCTGTAATCCGGGCATCAGACAACGCCACTGGGACCAAATGTCAAAAATAGTAGGATATGATATTACCCCAGACTCTGGCACTACACTAAGAAAAATCCTAAAACAAAACCTCACTCCTTACCTAGACAAGTTCGAGTCTGTCAGTGCAGCTGCTAGTAAAGTAAGTATATTACACATTGCAGTTACATTTTGAGCTTTTCACCCTAATCATGTTTTCTTTATCGCTGCAGGAATTTTCTTTTGAGAAAGCCATGAAGACTATGGTGACCATATGGGATGATGTTGCTTTCCACCATCAGCCTCACAGAGAGACTGGCGTATCTATTCTAATATCACTGGACGAGATTCAAACTATGCTGGATGACCAAATAGTTAAGACTCAGACAATGAGGGGCTCACCATTTATTAAGCCATTTGAACATGAAATCAAGGCAGGTTACTGATATTTTACAAAAACATGTCGGGCTTACTTCACATTAATTGATTTTCTTTTTTTATACAGAGTTGGGAAGATCGTTTGCTTCGTATCCAAGGAACCATTGATGAGTGGGTAAAAGTGCAGACTCAATGGCTTTACCTGGAACCCATTTTCTCCTCTCAGGACATCATGCATCAGATTCCAGAGGAGGGACGTCTTTTCCAAACTGTTGATAAAATCTGGAGAGAGGTCATGAGACACTGTGTCAAGGACCCTAAGGCATGCATTATATTAAATGTTGTATTAGTCTTATGGCTATAACATAAGCCTTTATATGTTAGTAGATAATATGCTCTGCTTGCTTTAAAGATCCTACCAGCAACATCACTGCCTGATTTACTTGAAAAGCTACAGGAATCCAATAACTTACTGGACACAATTATGAAAGGTCTAAATGCATATCTTGAAAAGAAGCGCCTTTTCTTTCCAAGGTAAGATGATGAATGCGCTTTATACATACGAAGAGAAAAATTTACACAATACTAATACAGTTATAATTTCTGTCATCAGGTTCTTTTTCTTGTCAAATGATGAAATGTTAGAGATTTTGTCAGAGACCAAGGATCCCTTGCGAGTTCAGCCACACCTTAAAAAGTGTTTTGAGGGTATCTCTAAACTGGACTTCTTACCCAATTTGGATATCCAGGTGCACATTATGCTCTATTTTATTTTATCACTAAAATTACAACATAATAATAATCATTCTCTCCTGTAGGCCATGTATAGCAGTGAAGGGGAGCGTGTTGCCCTTGTCCAGAACATTTCCACAGTAGAGGCCAAAGGGGCAGTGGAGAAGTGGCTGGTGCAGGTGGAGGATGTGATGCTGCGCAGTGTTAATGATGTGATTGCTCGTTCGAGAGAAGTTAGTGAATTCATGTCCAATATTATTAAGATCTTGTGTGTATCATTTAACTGTGTGATTATGTCCTTTTCAGGCCTATGCTGAAACCACCCGCAGCCAGTGGGTGAGGGAGTGGCCTGGACAGGTGGTGCTTTGTACTTCACAAATCTTTTGGACATTGGAAGTACATGAAGCTATTAGAGCAGGGGTTAGTTTAAAATTAGTTTAGTTAAGATTTCAAGATTCTGAAAATGGTATGGAACAGTTTTTAAATTCCTTTTTGTCTAGGTTTTGAAAAAGTACTATGAGCAGCTCCAAAGTCAGTTGAATGACATTGTGGAGCTTGTGAGAGGAAAACTGGCCAAACAAACTCGAACCACTTTGGGAGCACTGGTCACAATAGATGTACATGCCAGAGATGTCATCATGGAGCTCATTGAGAAAGGTATCCTATCACAGACCACTTTCATTTTAACTATTTCGTTGCTCTATACACTATTTTTAAATATCTATCCAACTACAATCAGGTGTATCAAAAGATACAGACTTCCAGTGGCTGGCCCAGCTCCGGTACTACTGGACCAACGACAATGTGCATGTTAGAATTATCAACTGTGATGTCAAGTATGCTTATGAATATCTTGGCAACTCTCCACGTTTAGTCATCACTCCACTGACAGACAGATGTTACCGAACTCTGGTAAGTAAAAAAAAAAAAAAAACTTAGTGGTGTAATATATCATGATTTCTTAAACTGTTTCTGTTTTTTAGATTGGGGCTTTCTACCTAAACCTGGGTGGTGCTCCTGAGGGTCCAGCAGGAACAGGGAAAACTGAAACCACAAAGGATTTGGCCAAAGCACTTGCTGTTCAGTGTGTTGTGTTTAACTGTTCAGATGGGTTGGATTATCTTGCAATGGGCAAGGTTAGAATTTGTGTTACATTATGTTAAACCTACATGCATGTGGTTAACTCATTTGATAACATTTCCTCTTACAGTTTTTCAAAGGTCTGGCATCTTCAGGTGCATGGGCGTGTTTTGATGAGTTCAATCGAATTGAACTGGAGGTGCTTTCTGTCGTGGCTCAACAAGTGCTGTGTATTCAGAGAGCCATTGAGCAGAAGCTGGAGTACTTTGATTTTGAAGGAACAACACTCAAACTTAATCCCAACTGCTTTGTGTCCATCACCATGAACCCAGGCTATGCAGGGCGATCGGAACTACCTGACAATCTTAAGGTAAACTAAACACTTTTTTGTTATGTTGCTGTATTTGCTATATTTTCCTTTTTAACCTGACAGTAAAAATTTTCTTTCCCAGGTTTTATTTCGAACTGTTGCCATGATGGTCCCAAACTATGCTTTGATTGCTGAGATCTCGCTGTATTCGTACGGCTTTCTGAATGCCAAACCATTGTCAGTGAAGATAGTAATGACCTACAGACTGTGCTCAGAGCAGCTTTCCTCCCAGTTTCACTACGACTATGGCATGAGGGCCGTAAAAGCTGTACTTGTGGCAGCTGGAAATCTCAAACTGAAGTATCCAGAAGAGAATGAGGATATACTGGTATGAACTATAAACTTTCACTGACAATGTGTTTTTGAGCATTTTGTAATATATTATTTTATTTTATTCCTATAGCTCCTGAGATCTATAAAAGATGTTAATGAGCCTAAATTTCTGTCTCATGATATTCCTCTATTCAATGGGATTACCAGCGATTTGTTTCCTGGAATCTCCCTTCCTAAAGCTGACTATCAGGTATGAATCTAGTTTATTTACTAAGCTTCTTTACTTTATACTTTATATATACAATAATAAACTTATTTGATCTTTTTTGTAGTTGTTTTATAAAGCTGCTGAAGAGTGCTGCAAAAGCCACAATGTCCAACCTACTCAAGTATTTTTAGAGAAGATGATTCAGACATATGAGATGATGATTGTGAGACATGGGTATGTTTATTTTCTGTTAAATATTAAAATGATATACTTTACCACAACATTAACCTTACATGTATGTATCTATCTCTGCCAGTTTCATGTTGGTTGGAGAATCTTTTGCGGGAAAGACCAAAGTTCTACATGTTCTAGCAGACACACTGACTCTGATGAATGAACAGGGTCAAGAGGAGGAGAAGGTCATTTACAGGACACTGAACCCTAAGTCCATCACTATGGGGCAGCTCTTCGGGCAGTTTGATTTGGTTTCCCATGAGGTACATCAGTGTCTATATGTAACTGCTACTGACTGTGAAAAATGTCCTTATGCAGTACAATTTTTATTTTTTTAAGTGGACAGATGGTATTGTGGCTAACACGTTTAGGGAATTTGCATCAGCTGAGACACCAGAACGTAAATGGGTAGTGTTTGATGGACCCATAGATACTCTGTGGATTGAGAGCATGAACACAGTACTTGATGATAACAAAAAGGTAATGAAAAAATGGCTTCATTTGTATGTCATGTACACTTAAAATTTTTATTTGACCCTGACAGCTGTGTCTGATGAGTGGTGAGATTATTCAGATGTCCAATCAGATGAGCCTTATCTTTGAGGCTATGGATCTTTCACAAGCTTCTGTAAGTTACCAGATACTAGTACATAAGCATGCAAATGTTATCTTAGTGTATAAGCATGTAAATGTAGTTACTGTTTTTGTTCTGCAGCCTGCTACAGTCAGTAGATGTGGTATGATCTATATGGAGCCATCTCAGTTAGGCTGGGAGCCTTTAGTTCTTTCTTGGTTCAATACTCTTCCAGAGGATTTACAAAGTCCAGTGAGCAGGACCCTTTTGTTAGAACTATTTCACTGGCTTTTACCCCCTGCCCTGAGAATGCTGCGCAAATACTGCAAGGTAGCCTAAACCTCAGATGAAAATGAATAAAATTATATTTACACATACAATTAAGAATATCAGTATTGTAAATATGCATTTTTTTCTACAGGAAGTTGTCCCGACTAGTGACAGTAACACTGTGACCTCACTGTGTCGTCTGTTTGAAATGCTGCTATCTGAACCTGTCAAGACACACCCTGAAGACAAAATCCTTCATGTTTGGATTAAGGTAAATTGAGAGAGCAACCTTTTATCACTTTGATTCCAGTTGTTTTTAAATTCTCTATTCTCTTTTTTCTTCTACAGGCTGCCTTTGCCTTCTCTCTAGTGTGGTCAGTAGGGGGCAGTTGTGATGCACAGAGCCGGGGGAAGTTTAATGAGTTCTTTAGAACCACTTTAACAGGAAAGACAGACAAAAACCCTATTCCTGAGGCCATTGGGAAATGGGAATGTCCACTAGATGAAAAAGGTTTAGTTTACGACTACTTTTATGAGGTACTACTGTGTTATTACTTACAATTACACAATTACCTCAATTACTGCAATGAATAATGCTAATGAATATTTTTTTGCACAGTTTAAAGGTAAAGGTCGCTGGATTCATTGGAATGACGGCATCAAGAATGTCAACTTAGGGGGGCAAAAATACCAAAGTGCAAGAGATAATTGTTCCCACAATTGACACGGTCCGTTATACATACCTTATGGACCTATGCATCACATATGGAGTGTAAGCATTTTTACAAGCACTGCGTACCATTCTCAAATTGACATACAGCATCATATTTTGAAGGTTTAAGTAGAAATTACATGCTTTTATTTACTTTGTGTATTTTCTGTTCAGGCCTAGTTTGTTTGTTGGCCCCACTGGCACTGGGAAGTCTGTGTATATCAAGGACAAACTATTGAACAATTTAGACAAAGATCTCTATCTACCCTTTTTTCATCAACTTTTCAGCACGCACAAGTGCCAATCAGACACAAGTAAGCTATTAGGATTATATTCAATTTTTATTTAGATTTCAAAATGTAAAATGTGTACTTGTTTTGTGTAGAATATCATCATGTCCAGATTAAATAAGCGAAGACAGGGAGTCTATGGGCCCCCAATTGGAAAGAAGTGCATAATATTTGTCGATGATGTGAATATGCCAGCGCTGGAACAGTTTGGAGCACAACCACCAGTGGAACTTCTCAGACAGTTCATGGACCATGGAAACTGGTACAATATTTGCTTTAAATTCTGAAGTGATTATTTTTATTTATATCTATATTTTTTTGCAGGTATGATCTCAAGGACACATCCAGAATCTGCCTAGTAGACGTTCAATTTATCTCTGCAATGGGTCCCCCTGGTGGAGGAAGAAATGCTGTTACATCTCGCTTCCTGAGACACTTTAACATCTGCAGTATTAATGCCTTCAGTGATGATACAATGGTTCGCATATTCTCCAACATAATGTCCTTTTATCTAAAAAACAATGAGTTTACCCCTGAAT